GCTGGTTTGGGAAACAGTCTATGCATAACCTCAGCCACAATCCATATTTATCCAGTATCTGTCCTGTTGTCTCTTATGAAATACTGTGTTTAGCTGTGCTTCCCTCCAAACCAGCTTCAATCCAAATTGTGGAAAAGAACAACCTAGCTTGTGTTTTTAGCTGGTAATGTGTGCACAGCCTAAGTCACTGCATGAGTGGAAAAAACTTTCTCTTGTGCAATGGAACCTCCCCTCCTCTCCCTTTCCAGGCACTTTGCACCCCCACATCTGCTCTAGAGATTCTCCTTACCCTCCAGAGCAAGATCTTAGGGTGGAGCAGTGTGGTTTTGTGTGTGCAGGGGGTGTATGTGTTGGTGTTGGAGAGGGAGGGGAAATTCTGCTGTGCGAGTGGAAGTAATTCTCTCTATGCAATGATTTGGTTGGCTACAAGTCTCTGCTCCCCCCCTCCCACTCTGATCAGTTCCACTTTCTGTCATCTTCTCTGTGCACCTGAAGTCTAACTTTGGAGTTCTCATCATATGTTAAAATCCCAGAATATCAGACTAGGGTTGAAGGAGACATCATCACATCCTTCTGACTTGTTTATTTTGTACTCACATGTGCATTTCCTCACCTCCTAGAACTGTCAGTCTGGCACTTCTTAAAGTAAAAAAAAGTTAAGGGTTTTTTGTTTTAAATAGCCTACATTGATAGATGAAGAGGAGCTGGCAAGTGCAGGGTTCTAGGGAAGAAAATAGTATTTAGTTCTTAGACATATGTGGCATAGAAGGCTTTGTATTCAGTCAGACCAGTATTCCATCTAGCTCAGTATTATCTACATGTGCACATGGTATTACTCATAATTATTTTTTTTAATATAAACAACAAGAACAACAACAACAACTACAACTACAACAATAATTTTATTGTTCATATCCTGCCCATCTGACTGGGTTTCCCTACCCACTCTGGGTGGCTTCCCTCACTGTGAGAAGTAAAGTCATAGGGAACCAGGCAGAGGGTCTTCTTGGCAGCAAAATATAAAGAATAATAAATTGTCAGACATTAAAAACTTCCCTTCAGATGTTTTCTAAAAGTTGTGTAATTCTTTATCTCACTGACATCTGATGGGAGGGTGTTCCACAGGGAGGGGCACCACTGCCAAGAAGACCCTCTGCCTGGTTCCCTGTGACTTTACTTCTCACAGGGAACTGCCAGAAGGCCCTCGGAAGTGGACCTCAGTGTCCGTGTTGAATAATAGGGGTGGAGATGCTCCTTAAGATATACTGGGCCGAGGCCATTTAGGGCTTTAAAGGTCAGAGCCAACACTTTGAATTGTGCTCAGAAATGTACAGTGGTACCTTGGTTCTCAAACTTAATCCGTTCCGGAAGTCTGTTCCAAAACCAAAGCCTTCCAAAACCAAGGCACACTTTCCCATAGAAAGTAATGCAAAATAGATTAATCCGTTCCAGACTTTTAAAAACAACCCCTAAAACAGCAATTAACAATTATACTGCAGTCACACAGTAAATCAATCAGTAGCTGAACTGGGTTCCACACAGTCACAAAAACAAAACAAAAAGAGCCGCAAAAACAAAAATGCAAAATAAATAGCAAAAACAGACAGACCTCAGTGTAGCACTCAAAATGGAAGTGTGGCACTCAAAACTGAGCACGTTCGGCTTCCAAAAAAGTTCATGAACTGGAACACTTACTTCCGGGTTTGCAGTGTTTGGGTTCCAAGTTGTTTGAGTACCAAGGTGTTTGAGAACCAAGGTCCCACTGTACTGAGAAACAGTGAAGATCCTTTAGGACCAGTGTTATATAGTCTTGGTGGCCACTCCCAGTCACCAGTCTAGCTGCCACATTTTGGATTAGTTGTAGTTTCTGAGTCACCTTCAAAGATAGCCCCACATAAAGCGCATTGCAGTAATCCAAGTGGGAGATAACCAGAGCATGTCCCACTCTGGCGAGATGGTCTGTGGGTAGGTAGGGTCTCAGCCAGTGTACCAGATGTGCTTAAAGTACTTAACCTGACCATGTTTATTTTGGAAAAAAACAGCTGCAGGGCCCCAGTCTGAAACTTGCTCCTGATTCAGATCAGAAACATATTCTGGATCAGGGCCTGTAGTTGTTTATATTTGTTTATATTTATTGCATTCACTTCTATATTACCTTTCCTCCAAGTAGCTCAAGGTGGTGTACATGGTTCTATTCCTCCCCATTTTATCCTCACAACAACCTTGTGAGGTAGGTTAGGCAGAGAGATTGTGACTGGCCCAAGGTTACCTTGGGTTGAGGCAGATATTGGAACCCTACTCTATATGATTGTAGCCCAACAATCTAACCAAGTGCATTAAAAGAAGAAGAGGAAGAAAAAGGATCAAGAATAATAATGTGTCATTTGGCTAGTGAGTGGTGCTGACAGCAAGCCCAAAGGGATTGGCTGCAGGAGGGAATTGCTAATTGGGAACTTTCTCCTGCAGCCAATCCCTGTTTTTAGCAGGGATCTTCCTTTGCAGTTTGGCTTGAACTCAAGCTGGGCATCTGCAAAGGAAGAAAGGAAAGAACTAGAAGTGCATTTAGAGTTCCCTGCCACTACCACTTGTACATATTTTGTTTTAAAAAAAAACAAAGATAGTGGCTGGTGTGATGGTGCAGAGTGGTGGAACTGCCCTCCCCAACATCGTTGCAGCTGGGACAAGGCAGGGGTGTTGGTCAGGTTGGAACTTTGCAGGCGTTCTGGAGGAGCTAATCCGGCATTCCTGCCAGTGTGTCCACACAGCCCCAGCCTTTTTGCCGTCCTGTCCCCAGCCACATCCATATAAACTGTAGCGATGCCAGTGGTGGCAGGACTGTTCTGTGGCTCTGCCCCACCCAACTGCATAACTTGTTCAAAAAGAACAGTTGCAACAGAAACAGGGGGTGTAGTGTTATATGAAAGGAGAGTCTATTAGTACCTGAAATGAAGATTTGATCCTAAGTGGCTAAATCAGCCTTTCTCAACCTGTGGGTCCCCAGATGTTGTTGAACTACAACTCCCATCACCCCTAGCTAGCAAGGCCAGAACTCAGGGATGGTGGGAGCTGTAGTACAACAACATCTGGGGACCCACAGGTTGAGAACCGCTGCGCTAAATGAATTGTTTTAGCAGTTCTGAAAGTGTGAGATGGGCCTCCCTAGAGTAGGATGGATAGTAGCCAGGAGAGGACCAAGCTTCCTTCTTATAGTGACGGTCCAAATGCAGTGAATGGCAACCACCCAAGTGTTGAAGGTAGTTTGAAAGAGGAATCACTACTTGTGTGTTCACTAACCTAGGGATGGGGTGAAAATCTGATTCAGTTTGCATTTCAAGATGAACCTCCCTAATCCACAGATTCTGAAACAAGACGCAAATGAAACACAGCTATCCATTGCCATGCACTTTCCTGATGTTTGCAGTGCCATTTTCCAGACAGGTAATGTGCACGAAAATGCATACAGTGCAGTAAAATGTGCATAAAATGAATGTAGCAGTGAAAATAACATATAAATGTGTATTAGGGAAAGTTGCTTTAATAAAAAATGTGTGTACAGTATTAAGAAAATTTGCATAGAAATGTGTCTGGTGAAATTCCCACTGTGAAACTTATGAATTTTCACGAAGACTTTAAAAAATGGGAAAATGATGTGGAAATATGGAGGATTGAATTTAAGATTGTAGAAAATGAGAAACTGAAATTGACCGAGTCTCCCATCTCATACTAATCTAAGTTCAGCTGGTTTTTGTACTATTCTAGAATCTTGGAAAACCCATCTCACCTGAGACAACAGTGAGGCAAAAGTAAATAATATGTACTCCATAGGCAACCATGCTCTGTCATATAACGCATTGTTTTGTCTAACGAGTGACTAGGCAGACCACCCCTTACTGAATATGAAAGCTGAAGTATCCATACAGCAACAATCAGTTTCCATCAGCAGTTGGGTTCCCAAGGGTCCCTCCCATGGGAACTATAAAGCATGCTGCTTTCTCATGCAGCTCTGTTTTTGCTCCTCCTCCTCTCCATCCTCTTTCCTCCTGGCCTAAAGACAGAGTGAGCATCACCAAATGACCTGCCTTCAAGCATTGTCTTGGGTCTCGTCCAGAAAACCCCCTCACCCAGGTGGTTTCATATTACAGCACTAGAAACTTGGAGAAACGTACTGCAAAACTCACCTGCCTCCTCTCTGCATGGGAGACCCTGCTCTCCACTGTTAGGGGTGGGGAAAGTGTTAGAGCAACACAGTTGGGCATGACGCATATAGCAAAAGGGGTGGGAGGAGGAGGCATGGGGAACAGCAGTTGTCCATTTCAGGGCGTGTGTCCCCCTTCCATAGCTTACCTGTGTGGAGTGCTTTCTTGTAATGGAGTTGGGTGTTCATGTCTGGGGTCCCAAGATGAGGTTCCTGGTGGGGTTCTAAACAGACAAGTACTTTCAGTGTGTTCAAGTTCGACTTTGTGCATTCTGTTTTGTGCAAAGTGCACCTGTTTCTCTGAAAAGAGCCAGAGAAGCCAGTCAGAGGGAAATGCTTTGTTCCAGCTCTGGGGCTGGTATACAGCTGTGCTGTCAGTGCAGGGCATGGCTGTGGATTGTCCTGCCTACAACCGTACCCCATTTTGGCTGTTACACTGGCATATTTTCACCAGCGGACAGCTCAGCCAGCTGCTAGCGTTCTGCTTGAAAATCTGGCGTGTTCTGACATTGTACCTTTCAAGGTGGCAGTGTAGCTCAAGTTCTGCTGGCATAGGAGGTCTTTGGACAAATTCCTCTCCTTCTCCCCCAAATAACAAACCAAAGGTACACTCAGAATTTGCCAGGTGTCATGTGGAGTGCTGAATTTAGATATCCTGCTTCTTACTTTTATTTTTAGGGCATGAAATTGCAAATTTTCTGGAATGCAAACACTGTACAAGAAGGATTTGATTTTGCCTTTAAAAATGTGACACTATTCCATGCTTGAATGTACACTGAATGCTTTCATTTATTCTGCTCAACAGATAACAGAAGATGTCTCAATAAGTGCAGCAGAATGCTACCAACCTCTTAAATACTTACTAAAAAGAACCACAGACACCAGGAAGAAGTCACTAATTATACTATAGCATCGTGCACCGAACTGAAGGATGGTCTGCCCTCTTCTGTCTCAGTATTTTAACTTGTAGTTGTATAACAAGTTCTATCTCTGTGTTTTCTGACAAGTGCATTATGTGGAAATGAACATCTTTCATGTTGTAAGATAAAACCAAACGCAATATTAAAAGAAAGATCAAAGCTGGGGGAAAGGGGCACAATTATGTGGATGTTATTTCTGCCTTTATAAAATCTCATGCAAGCTTCAGTGTCTAAGAACAAAACTTCAAATGAGCTGCTAATAAACATTCCAAATGTGTTGATTGTAAAATGTTCATCTGTTTTGTACAGTTTTATTTTGGGCTGTGATGAGAAATGAATCATCATTCTGTGTTTTTTTTTAAATGAGTCCCCCCCCCCGTCCAGTGTTATTTATAAAGTGGTACCTTTGTTACAAAAAGCTTTCCCACTTATTTTAGCCTTTGTGTACGAGGAGAAGTGATGCTGATTTAAACGAATCCTCAAAGGATTTTCTGAACTGTTAAGTTTAAATTTTGTGCCTTGTTTTGAAGCATTTATTTAAATAAGGATACTGAAAGGCATATGTGTTTGTTAGCAAAGAAATACATATCTCCTCTTAAATTGTAAGTGCAATTCTTTGCATGTTTACTCAGAAGTTAGTCCCATTGAATTCAGAGGGAATTCCAGTAAATGTGTATTGGACTGCAGCCTGTATTTCATTAATATTCATGTATAAAGGTATAATAAAAGAGATATGGACAGATTGCTTAACAACCACAGGCTTATCACCACGTTGGGAAGGATGAAGAGCGTCTGGTTAAAGCATAGCACAAGTCTCTAGAGCCGCTTTGAGGGTTATACAGAGTCTTACTGGTTGTGGTCATGATAGTGAGCTCCATGGGCAATTACCAAGTGTTGTCAATGAGCACATATCATTATGGTCAGCTGAGCTCTGCTCTGGTGCAAGCTCGCTTGAAAATAAGTAGGGCGTAGTGCATTGCAGCTGAGGGGAGCAATAGAGAATTGTTTATATAGGGTTCCAGTCTTTTACAGCTAGTAGGGCTGGGAGATAATATCGATAGATCGTCTAAAACTGGTTTGAAGTCCATATCATGATATTGGTTTCATAATTTTGACCTGACAATATATCATGAATCACAATGTGTGTGCATGCGCTATGCAAAAATCACAACGTGGGAAGAAGCTTGAAGCCAGCCAATGCCTCTACATAACTCCATCCTTATTTCAGACATTATATCAGTATATCGGTATATGGCTATGTTTAGCTGATGATGTATTGATGTGGAAAACCAGATATTGCCCAGCCCTAACAGCTAGTTATTAATGTGTAGCCAGCAATGTTAAATTATGAACTGAAGCAACAGGAAGTGCAACTAGGCATGTGTTTCACACCCAAGCTGCTCTGAAGGGACCAAAATGGGTACCTTAGCATGCAGCAGTAGTGAAACAAAGTGTATTTCTTTGTTCCAGTGATAACCTTCTATCGGTGGATCTTTCCAGAAGATGTTTTGTTTGCACAAGGATAATCTCGTAGCTGTTGCCCCACCTAGTTCCAGTTTGGGTTTGTTCTTGCCCTTTTGTACTGGGAGGGTTAGAGTTGCCTTGCTGCAGGAAAGGATAGCCAAAATCTGCACATATTAAGAGAGATGAGCACAGTAGTCTCTCCAATGGGACATCAGAGGTGGCACCTGGCAGGTGCTCACAACATTAACACACGGCACCTAAGCCCATATGTTTTTATATTAACATTTTATTATGTTTTGACAGGAGAGTGACACAAATCGCTGAAGCATCATGAGTAGCAAATGACAGGTTCAGCATTTCTTAGGCAAACAGACCCCCCACCCAGTGCCCCCTGACCTGAATATGGCAAATTTAAGGAAAGAGAAAGAAGAAAGGAGGAACTTTGTCAAAAAATGGTTGACAACCAGTGCCTAGTTAGAGAAAATGAAATGATTCCCAAAGGAGTGAACAGTCTCAGAATTAGCCCTCCTGCCACAACAAATTTGTTATTTAGTAGACAGATCTCAAAGATCCTCAACCCCATGCTCTCTCTTTGAAGATTATGACTTCTAAAACTGCAGCGCAATTCATTTTGCCATTAGTGATATGCTAGAAATTTAAAGCACAGCAGGTTTTGGAAGTGCCAAAATTACCAAGATGAATATGGTGATTAAATAAACACCAGAGCTAAAAAGACATTAGTTCTATCATTTTCCCAAATAAAGACTCAATAATGGGCACTTTTGCATGTGTTTTTAGACCTGGCAAGGGTTTCCACTCGTCCAGCACATGGTTGTGCCTGCACTGCATTTTCTCAACAGCTCAATACTGCCATCTGAATGCAGGGAAAAGTTATTTTCTAGGAAAATGTGTTCACTGAAAATAATAATCTAGATTCCTCCAGTTGATGGGCAGCCCAATTGTGTATTCTTCGTGCAAAATATCTGAAAGGGTCCCCTAGGAACAAGAGGATGAAATGGTACACGGACTCAGGTAAACAATGTTCCTTTTGGAATATGCTAAACTAGTTCCAAGGTTAGATATTCAGAATTAAAATGCGTAGCTTTGAATTTCTTTGCCAAAGTTCAATGCCAGCTGAAGGATTTGAAATTGGTATTTGACTTTTGAAATTGGTATTTGTTCTCCTAAACCACCAATATTTGAATTGCAGCATAAGAAGTGGTAGTTAAATGACAGACGACATCTTTGTAGTCAGTGCAAAACTTCCATTGAGCTTGATGGATTCTGTACTAAGCTTTTTAACCATGTGCTAAATATAAGAGAATCAACACTGTTAATAAACATCAATGCATCAAGAAATGTGAAATGTGTACTCTGTAGATTGTCTGATGTGTTTCACTGTGCAGATAAAAATCAGAAAATTGTTAATCGGATAAGTTCTTGCAGAAAACATTTCCAGTGCTTGTTGAAATACCAGCTACTAGGAAATTCTACTTTTGGTCATGGGGATGACTTGAGGGTGTTCATTTTCTATGCCTTTTCCCATTTCTTGCATTGACCTGAACATTTGCTCTGCCCTTTTTATTAAAGGCCTTATGCAAAGTCAATATGCAATGAAGAAAACTGCCGAGCTGTGTTTTCCCAAGTTTGTAGTTGGTTATTCCAGGTGCATAGTTGATCTGTGTGGATATTAAAGCCATTTAAAATAAAAATGAATAGAAGGAGGACAAGTTCATGGCTCTGCCATCTTCCCTATGCATGTTCAGCAAAATATCTATGCACATTCAAATAGCATGAGTGATCAGGAGCAAATCCATTGATCATGCTTACAGAGCCTAGATGTGTGTTCTCCTCCTCCTCCTCCTCCTCCTCCTTTCTTCTTTCACTCATAGCCGAGTTAGATTGTCTTCCATGAACACGGTCTTAACAGTGAGTCCATAAGTGACTATGGAGGCCAATTCTGGATCCACACGTCCTTCTACAGTGGGGAAGTGTACTATGCACAGATTATTTATGCATTCCTTTTTATCATGTCCTTCCTCCAAGAACTACATGCTCCCCCTCCCTCACCTCCATTTGATCATCATAATAGGAGGTAGGAGACACTAGTCCAAGGTCACCCAGTGAGCTTCATAGCTGAGTAGGTATCTGACCCAGGTCTGCCTAGTCCTAGTCAAGTGCCCTAACCATGACACAACACTGGTTCTTATGTTGAGCAGATACATGAAGGGAGAGTCATCATGTGGAATCTTATTTCTCCCACTTCATGCTTTACATGATCGTAACATGTGTTAAGCCTTTCTTCTCTTACACCATGTAGCAATGGGGTAAACACTTCCCTAGGAGTAAGTCCCCATTGAACTCAATGGGATCTAATTTTGAGTAAACATGCATAGGATCGTGCTGTATAATCCAACCTTTTTTGTGTTAACCAAGATACTATTGCACTCCCCAAGGTGCCCTTGAAATGCTGTTAGGAAGCATCTTGTCTTCTCTGGCATTGGATACAGATGGGATCTGATTCTGAGTCTCCTGAAGTTGCGCATTGCATTACTTTAAAAGCTTTACATCAGTTTTTACTCCTGCCATATCAGCTCTTTTTGCAGAGGTTCAGTGTAGATTGCATTTGCCAACCACTTCTAGAAGCAAAAGTTATACCTGAGCAGTGTCTATAGCAGCACAGCAAGCAGAAAACTTTTCTTTTGCAGAGACAACACACTGTTTTTGTGGAGGGCAGGTTAGGGGCTATTCTGTTTTCAATAAAGAACTATTTTGTCCCTATTTTGACATACTGTACGTCAGGAGAACAGGAAATAATCAGCTTTTCTGCTTAGAGCTAAGGCTTCACAGACTGTACATCCATCTTTATCAGGTAATTTCAAAGCACAGCATAGCAGGCTACAAAGAACACAGTATATTTTAAGAAAAAGAAGGGCAATATCTTAATGAGGCCAACTAAAATGTCGCATGACAGTGTGCAGGTTTTTAAGTTCTGTAGAACTCTTCATCAACCTAGATGGCAAACAAAGCAGGGAATGGGGGCTGATGTTAAGAGTATCACGAAAGGCAATTCAGAAATTCAACTACAGGCTAATCCCATTGAGTTAATGGCAGTAAATCTGCTTAAATCAAAGTGTTCTGTCTTGGTGGATTTGCGAGCAGTGGCCTAAAGACACAGTCCATTGGGACGTTGTACTGTATTTTGCAGCCTCAATGAAAAGAACAGAAACTATGGAGGAACACTCAGCCATGCAGCTCACTGGGTGACCTTGTGCCTGTTACTGTCTCTCAGCCTAAGCTGCCTCAAGATGCTGTGAGGATAAAATGGGGAGGGAGAGAGCCATATACACTGCCCTTAGTTCATTGGAAGAAAGGTGGGATGTAAATGTAATTAATGAACATGAAGGTGATAATAAAATCTGGACTTCTCCAACTTTGTGTCCTTCAGAAGATGTTGAACTGCAGCTACCATCACCCCTGACCATTAGCCATGCTAACTGGGACTGATGGGAGTTGTATTCCAATAACTTCTGGAGAATCACACCCCTGCTTTACATACATGAATTTTTTTTAAATCTTCTGGCTTGTAATTGCAAGGGGTTGATATTATTTAAGCATGTTGAAGCACCTTTGTGTCCTTGATCCCACTGTCAAAAATCTTATAAAATCATGGAGATATATAACTGCGGGGTCCGATAACAATTGAACAACTTGCTTAAAAGCCAGTCTTTTCAGACTTCTTAATGTATTCATCCAAATGGCCTCTCAGGTCTCACTCACTCTCTCTCTTCCTCCTCCTACCTGAATTGCTAA